GGCCCCCACGGTACCCCGGCCCGCGGGCCCGCCCCCCGGAGCCGAGCGGCGGGGCCGCGGGGCCGCACCTGCTCTGGCGAGCGTTGGCGGCACGTGTGACCCGGGGACCGCGACCCCCGCGGCCCGCGCCTGCGCTCTGGCGACACGAAGTGCGGGACTTCCGGGAGGGCGGGACGCCGAAGGTGCAGCGCAGGCTCGCCCAGGGGTCCTGCTTGGAACTGCAGACCGGCCTAGCCCTCTGCTGGCTTCTGTTAGGGTGTTCTGGTGCCCCGATTTAATCCACGCTGGCACAAGGGGCGTGTAGCGACAGACAGACGACAGGCCCCTGGTGAGATGTGGGCCTCCCTAGGCCTGCCACCTTGGGGAAGCCCCTGGCCACGGCGTGCTGGTTTCACTATCTGCAGCGCAGGCATGAGGACGGCCAGTGCCACCCAGGAGATGCCGGCGGCGCTGCCTGCCTCGCGGCGGGCATGGCGGCCTTAAATCAGGCTGCCCCGGGTGCTGGTGGACACACGGGCCCCCGTGGGCAGGCCTGGCCAGGAAGGCATGAGTTCCGTTTGGGAAGGGACTGGGGGAAGATGAAGCATTGCATAGGCACCCCGGAGGAGCGATGTCCCAGGGGCAGCCCCCTTGCAGGCCTGCCCTCGGGTGATCATTTCTAGGGGTGTTCGTGGCTTCCAGGAGACAGATTTTCTGAAAATACAGCAATTATCAGTCCAGCAGGACAGGTCCCGGGTGGCTTGAAGGTGGAAATCTTAGTTCCAGGTGCCTCACAGGGGCCCAGGCATGACTCCTGCTTCTTAGGAGGAAAAGCAAGGAGGTAGACCCAGGGGAAAACAGAAGCTTGTCTGGAGGATTCTCACTGCTCTTAGGAATGTTGCAGAAGACCCCTAGGCTCCTCCAGGAGTAGTATGTGTGACAAAGCTCGCTGTTTCAGAATATAAGAATAAAACTCAGGGTATCATCCTATTTTTATTATGCGTGCCCCTACCTGAAATGTGAAACTTCTGCCACCTGCGGCAGTCAGCATGAAAGTGCAGTCAAGTTCCTGAGGTCCGTCTGCAGCGCCTTTCTCCCTGGCTTGGGTCTCTGGGAGGCTGCTGTGCTGTGTGCTCTGCAGGGCGTGCTCCCTAACCGATGCTTTCTCTCTTCTTTTCAGGGGTTGGAAAGACAACATTGATCCAGAAAGCCAGTGAGGCTTTAAAATCCTCCGGTGTGCCTGTTGATGGATTTTATACAGAAGAAGTCAGACAGGGAGGGAGAAGAATTGGATTCGACGTGGTCACGTTGTCCGGCCCTCGGGGGCCTTTGTCAAGAGTGGGGTACTGGTGTCTCACTTCCCTAGCGTTTTGGTCTCTAAGCAGCCCTCCGCCACATTCAGGGGGCTCTTCCGTTCTGACTCACCTCGTGCTCAGTCCTCCTCTGAGCCCGGGGGCTGCTGCTTCCCCTCTGGTTGAGCTTCTCCCTGGGCTCAGGGTTGAGCTCACGTACCCTGAAGGGTCTGAGCCTTTAAAGGTCTCTCAGAGAGAGAAAACTGAGACCATCGTAGGAAAACAATTATAAATGTCTGTCTCAAGTGCAATTTATCCTGCCGAGCCCTACTTTCTCACTTTGTAGTTCTCAGCCTATCTTGGTGCTCTGGCTGCCCGGAGCTGCAGGAATGGCCCTGTCTTCCTCACTGCAAGGCTGCTGCTGGTGGAGCAGACGCCTGGTGGTAGTTCTGTTCCCAGGAGGGAAAGCAGAGTCGCACAGCTCTGCACACCGCTGCATTTGGTCGGTGGTGGTGCGGGCTGATGATTCACTTTGTGTGTGTGTATTTCTTTTGTGAGTGAGAGAGCAAATCAGAAGCAGACAGAGGTACAGGCCCCTTAACGGCCCTGACCCCTCAGTCCTCTCCCAGCCTCAGTGAGCCCAGGCCATGCTCAGGGCACTTTCCCACGGGGGTCTGCCTCCCAGAGCCTGTGTGATAAAGCCACGCTGCTGTCTGGCCCCCGTGCTGGCGATCTTGTTTTCGGTGTGGGATGTGTGTGCTTACCAGAGAGAGAGAGGAAGAGAGGGAAAGTGTGGAATTGCCCTCCAGGGGAGGTGGCCATGGTACAATCCCTTCTCCTTTCTCTTCTTGGGATCTTGGGTGTGCATACACGTACTCCCAGCGTGGGTCTGAGATCTGAACTGCACAGTTGGCCGTATGGGATCCAGCATCTTAACCTCCGCACACCTGCTGGTCCCCATGTTGGTCCCCAGTGAAACAGCTAAATGCCAGAAATTGATTTTTTTAAGAGATTTTTTGCTATAGGGCTTGTGTGCTTACCATGGAGAGAGACAGAGAGACAGAAAATAAGAAATAACCCCCCAGGGGGATGACCACGCCTCAGTTCCTTCTCTGTTCTCTTAGAATTTTGGGCACATGTGCCCAGTGTGCATTTGAAACCACTGGGTTTAGGGACTCAACTCAAACTGTTTGGCCACGTAGGAGCCCAGCGACGTAGCCATCACGCCCTCTGCTGGTCCTGACACAGGGGGTTTCAACAAACACGTGTCTCTTCATTAAGGTCGGAGCCCCCGCCTGGAAAGCGCCAGTGCCGAGTTGGCCAGTACGTGGTCGACGTGACTTCCTTCGAGCAGTTGGCACTGCCCGTCCTGAGGAATGTGAGTACGTGGGTTCTGGCCTCGGAGCCCGTCTGCTCTGGTTCTCTGTGGGGACTGCAGGCCATAGGAGCAGAATGGCTTTTGCTCTTGAAGGGAGGCCAATTTCAAGTTGTGCACTTAAAAAGTCTCAGAGTGATTGAGTCTTACTAAGAATATGCGGCATAACTTGCTGTTACTCTGAGCTACAAGTAATTTCCTTGTCACGTAAATTCAGGGAAAATGGGTGTATCCCCAAAGGTTCTCTGTCTTCCCATGCTTATATCTTAAGCGGTTTTCACAGTGCAGTAAGCACTTAGGGAGAAAACGTCGTCGTAGGAACATGGCCAGTGGTAATTGAAGCCTGCTGAGTCCTCTCAGCGCTAACACGTTATATCCAGGTATTGCTGTCCCTTATCTGAGATGTTCGGGACTAGATGTGTCTGGATTTTAGAATAGTTCCTGTATGCCTTACCAATACAGTCTAAAGGTAATTTTATACAATATTTTTACACTGTAGCATTTTGACTATGATCCATCCTGCGGTCAGGTGTGGGATTTTTCACACCTGACATGGCGTCGTGTTGGCACTCAGAATCAGGTTTTGGAGCATTTCGGACTTTAGATTTTTGAATTAGGAGCATTCAACCTGTACCTTAGAAACGACAAAACTCCGGCCTTGTTGACATTGTTGAACTTGAAGTTGGATGTCTTTTTTCCATTTTCCTGCCTAATTAACCTGGCTGGCACCTCTAGTACAAGGTTGAATAGAAGTGGTGACAGTCGGTGTCACTGCCCTGTTCCCGATCTGTCTTTCACTACTAAGTACTGTTGTCCGCTGTGGGTTCTTGGTGGGTGGTCTTTATTGGGTTGAGGACATTTGATTTTTTCTCAGTCCATTAAAAGTCTCATTTTATTGGATGTTTCACAGTGAAGGAGTATTGGATTTTGCAAATCCTTTCAAGGTGATAATGCAGTCTTCATCCTTCGTTATAGTAATGTGGTATGTTGCATTGATTGTTACTGAAAATGACACCAACCTTGTTTTCTTAGGGTAAGTCCCTCTTAGGTATACACCCTGTTTCTATGTTGGGGTATTCAGTTTGCTAGCATTTTATTGAGGATTTCTGTATATTCCTAAGGGATTTGGTCTATAGGGATGTGTTCATCTGACTTTGGTATCAGAGTAATATTGGTCTAATGGAATGAGTTCGGAAGTATTCCCTTCTCTTCTGGTTTTTGGAAGAGTTTAATGCGTGATCGATATTCATTTTCCTTTGCGTGCCTGATAGAATTCACCAGCGAGGCCACACAGGCCTGGGCTTTCTCCGTGAGGACCTTAAGCCCTCGGCCGCGTACTCGCAGCAGTCTGGGCTGTGTATTCTCGTTGGGTTCGTCGTGGTGCCTGTCTTTCAGTGCCTGTCCGTGTAGGCTGAGTGGTCCGATTTGTCGCTTCACAGTTGTCCGTTCATGCCCCTGTAATCCTTTTTATTTCACACTGTTGGCGGAGTTGTTTCCGCTCTTGTTCCTGATTTTAGCTATGTAAGTCTTTTGTTTTTTTTCATGGTCATTTTAGCTAACGGTTTGTCAACTTAGATTATCTTTTTAAAAAACTGATGTTCGGTTTTGTTGATTACATATTACTTGGTTTTTGCATCCATTTTCAAATATTTACCAAGTCCCGAATATGCAGCCATGAATAAGACAGATTTGTCTTATGCTCTGTCACAACTCCCCTCTAGTGGGAGACGTAGATGTTAAACAAACACTTTCACTTGGCGTAACTGCTGTCAGGGAGCAGCAGGGAGCTGTGGGGACAGGGTGAGGGCAGACCAGGCAGGCCAGCGCGAGCTTGGAGGGGACGACCGAGCTGAGGGGGGCGACGAGGAGGCGCCGTTCCTTTAGAGAGCGAGGATTGGCTGTGTGTGTTGGGAGAGCCTGGAAGAATATTCTAGATGACAGGAACAGATGCAGTAAGACCTCTGAGCCCCGGGACAGCAGGTGGAGAGCGTGACCCGGGTGAGGTGGGTCGGGCCATGGGATGCAGCCGTGCGGTCGCTGAGGAAGGTGGTTTCACTTACCCTCTGGCTGTGCTGCTTTGACTCAGTTTCGTGTAAAGTGAATGGTACAGACTTGTCTCAGGTGTCACTCGTAAAGTTTCCCGAAGTTTCTCTGGTCACTGCACCAGGGACAAAGCTCAGGCCCCTACCATGACCAGAGAATGTCTGGCCCTAATCTCCGGCCTCATCCTCCACCCTGCAGCCACATGTGTCCACACGTCGGGGTCAGGCAGCTGTAGCCCATGTACTCGCCATGGTATGGGTCGTCAGGCCGTGTCCCCAGTCCTCGCCTCTGTTCCCTGACGTTCAGAGCACGGCTGAGCTGCAGGGGAGGCCTTCGGCAGCTGCTGTCGCCCCAGGGGCTGCTAGACTCTCACCACCCGCCCCAATGGGCGGGCTCTGCTGCTTGGAGCCCCCCGCCCTGCCCTGAGCTCTCCCTTGCTTCCTCTCCCTGCGGCCCCTCCTCACCTCCCTCTTCTGGACCCGTGGGAGTGGGAGCGAGAGCACAGCACTCCCTGCCCTCCTTTCCATCAGAAGCAGCTGTCTACCGAACTGTTGAAAGGCGCGACAGCCCAGGTGAGAACCCGCTGGGCGCCGGCCCAGTGCAGGCACGCGAGCACCCCGGTGCTGAACACGCCTGCTAGGTTACGCGACCGCGCACTGACGGCTCCAGCTGGAGTCTGTATTTTCATTAAAATATAAAGAAAAGCAGACTTCTCGCTCTCTCTTACGCGCAGGCCCTCACGTTCTAGGTGGGACGTGTTCCTGCCAGGGGTTCCGGCCGGCTCTGTGCCCTGGTCTTCCTGGGGCAGCAGCTTCTCTCCTGTCTTCCATTTAATTGGGGCAAAGAAAGGAGATGAAGTTAGTCCTTCACCTTTGCACTACTCTGTAAAAGAAAGGAGATGAAGTTAGTCCTTCACCTTTGCACTACTCTATAAAAAAGAAAGGAGCAAGGAGGCAACAAGAAGAGGAGACCATGAACCGTTTTTGGTATTGGCAGTCAGTAAACTGGAGACTTTAGAAGCCACATCAAGGCGGCTGGGATTTTTGATACAGGGACAGGTCGTGTTTCTTCGTAGTGTCCGAGGGTGAAAACACACTCTGGCATAGACATCTATTATGTAGACGAAAGCTCACTGTTGGTCAACGTTTGGGTTTTTATCGAATACTACGCGAACCTAAGAACATCCCTTGTCCGAGGGGGTCAGCGGGGCTCACCTGTTTGCAGTGGGAGGTGAGGGGGCTGGGAGCCGAGAAGAGGCTGAGGGGGAGGCCCGGCGGCTGCTTGGGGGGGGTGCCCATGCATTCCACGTCCTCAGAGTGTGGACTGAGACACGCGTGGGCCCCGTGGGGAGGAGGGACGGGGATGGGGTTGGGGAGCATGGGGTGTTGGGAGCCCTGAGGGCTGGCTGTGGTCACGTGATTTCATTCCGTGGGCAGCCTCTCCCCTTGACAGCGTTTGTGGTCTCCTGAGTGTGAAATTCTATGTACTCACGGTAGGCTACGGGAGGAGCGTGCAGCTGCTCACAGCCATGTGCGCCCTAGCATGTTGGTTTCTGCCCTGAATGAATACAGATCGAGTCCCTTCCCTTGTCTGAAATGCTTCGTACGGAAGTGATTTGGATTTGGGGTGTTTTAGACTTTAGAGCATTTGCATACGTGTAATGCGGTGTCAGGGGATGGGACCCAAGCCTAAGCAAGTCCGTCTGTTTCATGCAGCCCTTACAGAGGGCCCCCCCAGCACCGGCAGCGTTGCGATGCCGCTCATCCGGGTCACCAGCTGTGGCACTCCCCACTGGCAGCACCGTGTCGGTGGCTCAGCGCGTGCAGATCGTGGAGCATTTTGGATTTCGGATTTGGGTTAGGGATACACGTCCTGTCCCAGGTTTGTTTATTCAGTCATCCAAAGCAAGGAGAAGTGCCGTGCAGTCACGTTGCTCACAGCGGGGGTGTTCTGAGGTCTCTTTGGCTGCTTGTTGCGTGGGTGTCACAGAGTGAGGTACCCCCTGCCACACACCTCGGCGACGTAGTATGGACCCTGTGGCCTGATGGGACCGCTGCGGTGGGTGCAGTCTGCCTGGCACGAACGTCGGTCCGTGGTGCGGGACCCGGCTGCGTTTGTAGGCGGGGTCAGTGTTCGCCCTAACATGGTGTACGTGTGCAGTGGGCTCACAGCAGGAGACTGCAGAAGTAGACAGTCACCGCCCGTCAGTCCGTCAGCGCCGGGCGTAGGCTGGCTGTCACACGGCAGCTGTGGCTGGTCGAGACTGAGAGGAGAGTGCTGGCTTCTTTCATAGTCGCCTTGTTGATACTACATTGAATGCTCCATTAAAATGTTGTGCAGGATTCACCGTCTTACTGGTTTGTTGGTACATTTCCTAGATGCACAGAAAGGTAGTAATGGATTATTACGAAGAGCAGAGGAGCGAGCAGCCCGTTCCCACAAAGGCCTGTGAAGGCGTGGAAAGCTGGGGCCGGTGTGTGCATTTCTGTTTTGATCAGATTAGGACTACAGATCTATAGCGATGTTTTTTGTTGGTTTCTTGTTGTTTTGTTTCTTTTAAGAGCAGGATCTGCTTTTGATTCTGAAGTAGACAGACTCCGCTTCAATTCTCTGGCACTTACTCAAAGGCAGGAGGACTCCTGTCTATGGAAAGGTGATTTTTTAAACATGTGACCTGGAGTGATTTTGGCCACTGGGGTTTAGGAGGAAATTTGAAAAATCAGGTTCTGCGGCCAACAGGTGGCACGGTGGTTAAGGGGCTGGACTCCCGCAGGGTTGACCGCAGTTTGCATCCCAGACCTGGAGGCTTGCTCTCTCTCCCTCTGGTCAAATTAAAATAAATAAATAAAGTGAAATAAAATAATTCAAAAAATACTTCAGGCAAAAAGTTAAAGACACTTAAGAAAAACCCAGGTTCTAGTCGGAATCCGTTCGTGAGGGCGTGACGGGAGCCTGTGCATTGCTTGGGCGTCCCCTCCGGTGCCGCTGGCGAGCGTGTCCTCTGTCCGCCTCGCTCGTGACCACACGGAACCGCGGGCTCAGCCGGGGCAGGTGCAAGCCGTGGTGCAACCTGAAGATGGACTCGGAGCTGTCAGGAGAGATGTCCTTGCGGGCATCGGAGTCGGATCTCAAACAGGAAGTGCAGGGAGGTGGCAGTGGGAGGCCCGGCCGTCTCCACCCTCCACGGGCCGGGCTCTCTGCCTGCACTGCGGGCTGGTCACAGCTGCGGAGCGGGGTGCCCAGCAGGCCCCTGCCCTGGGTAGCCCTGCCTGGAGGTCTTGGCACCCATGCACGGCGGACGCGACGCGCAAGGCCTCTGTGCCCTGAGCGGGCTGGGAGGGGTGTGAGGGCGGCCTTTCCCCTTCCCCAGCCCGGCCTCCTCTCTGCCCCCACCCCTGCAGCCCCGCACTCCCGCACTCCCTCTCGGGAGCTCCCACCTGAGGACTTGCGCCTTCTCGTGACTTGGATTCTGAGAAAGTGTGTATGTGTGTGGTTGTGTGTTTGTGCTGATGGTAACTTGAACTTTATTCGGAAAGCTCTGGGGATGAGAGCTAGCAGGAGCATCTTGTCCTCGTGTCCGCCACCTTGTCAGCGTTTCTACTCGGTCGCCTGACTGCTTGCTCCATCTCTGTGTGAGTGCGTGTCATTGTGCTAGTGTGTGACTGTGTGAGTGTGTGACTGTCAGTGTGTGGACGTATGTGACAGGGCGAGGGTATGTGTCTGTGAGTGTGTCTGTAAACGAGGCCGTGTGGCAGTGCGGGCATATTGTAACCAGCAGGGTACTATCCTTCTGCATATGCAAGGTGTTTTTCCTAAAACTGGGGATGCTGTGTTATCACGGGGCTCCCGACCTCAGTGCATTTCACACGAGTGGGCAGAACCAGAGCGCCCCGTGGCTCTGTTTGACCGTCAGCCACGTGGCACCACATGTAGTTTTGCTGATCATGGCCTTGCTTCGCTCACACCCGTGCTCTGGGGCCGTGCTGCTGTCGCCGTGTCGGGACTGCGAGCTGCAGAGACGGGAGCTCTGTAAGTCGCTTTCGGAGCAGTCCCCTGTGCAGACGGGCGTCCAGTGTTTGTCATCGAGCGTTCGCTGACGTGCCGTCGTATGTTCCATTGTGTCTGTCCCGCAGGACAGTCAGGGTCACGTCCTCCGAGGAAGCGTCTCAAGAGGACACGTGTCCTAGTAACCTGTGGCTCCATGGCAGCTCTCCCCAAACCAGCAGCTCACAGCATGGCTGGGGGTCGGCTCAGGGCATGGGAGGCTGCAGTCAGGCCCGGTGGACCCGCCCTGGCTGGGTGGGCTCCCTCTCCCGCTGTTGGCCTGGGCCCTGGGTGCCTCCACAGTGACGTCGCTGTGCCCTGGCGCCAGCCCCTCGGCTGTCCTCCGCTGCAGCGGTCCTGCCCAGAGTGAGGGCCCGTCAGCGTGTCCAAGAGGCAGCAGCTCTGCTTTCCTGTCTTGGCCGCCACATGCTGTCCCTTCCACTGAGACACGTGGTCACGTGGGCCGCCTGACCTCTCTGGGGCATTTTCAAGGTAGTGGCCGAGTTGGAATGAACCCATCAGGAAGGGAATCCGAGGCCTGAGAGGCGTAGCGTGGTCACTTGTCCCCTCGTCGCCAAGACCCCTTTCCTTTCCTTCTTCACCGTGCCCTCCAGCCCTCGGAGGCCAGACTCGGGGCCCTGCCTCTGCCTGTGGCAGTCACCTGGCCCAGCAGGGTGTCCGGACTAATCTCAGAGACGGGGCCAGGGCCCCTGATAAGGGCCTGGGCCTGCTGCCTCGGTTTGCACGACCTGAGTGAGGTACACGGGGGCCGCTGACTTTCTGGGTGCAGGTCAGCACAAACGTGGCTGGTATTAGAGCTGCTCTTGAATACAAGTTGTGAGCCAAGCTCAGTCACTCTGGCGTTGAGCTTGCTAGCTGCTCAGTCCCCTTGGCTTCTGGGTCGATTCCTGGGTGCACAGTGGACCCACCACCTCCTGTGACTGCAGGGCAGTACGTGCCTGGACGTGGGCCTCCATGATGTGACCAGGTCCCATCGGTGTCCCTGTTGTCCCCAGGCTGACTCCCGTGGTGGCCCAGGGTGGAGAGTGTGCGTCATCGACGAGGTTGGGAAGATGGAGCTCTTCAGCCAGCCTTTCACCCAGGCTGTCCGGCAGATGCTGTCCGCCTCAGGGACCACCGTCCTTGGCACGATCCCGGCCCCGAGAGGGAAGCCGCTGGCCTTCGTGGAAGAAATAAGGAGCCGAGACGACGTGCGGGTGTTCCACGTGAGTACCCAGGCCGCCCGGGGACGGGGCGGGCGACCTGCAGTGGCTGGGCTCTAACAGATGCCCTTGGCTTTGAATGATCATCTCCCCCCTTTGCTGCGGTACCCGTGAGCCTGTGGGACGCCGACCACACCTGCTTCTGAGATGAGCTTGCCGGGGAGCCGCTGCCTTCACCACCTCCCCACTGGACCCCGGCGTCTCGGGGTCCGCGCCTCAGCAGCTGGGGTCCTGTCCCAAACTCCTCGTCAGTCATCGGCCCAGCGGGACACAGGCGGGTCACGGGTTCATCGTAAAGATCTCTTTCAGACTCGCCCCTCTCTGGGGAGGAGGCTGCGTCCCGGCCGTGGGCAGCCCTGCCCAGTGGTGTGTTCACAGTGATGGCCGTATGCTGTCGGCACCAGCCGGCCTCGTCCTCTCCGAGGTCAACAGCAACAGGACAGGTGTGGCAAGGCAAAGATTCTGAAGTAGCCATCACAAAAGTGCTTCAGTGATCAACTACAAACACGCTTGACACAAATGAAAAATAGTCTCAGCAAAGAAATGGAAAGGTTCAACAGAGGCAGAAGACAGAAGGATCAGATGGGAAGTTCGAAACTAAAATGCAATAACCAGATTAAAAGGCCACTGAATGGGCGTACCAGAGGAACGGAGATGGCAGAAGAAAGATGGAGTGAACCATAGAAATTGCCCACCAAGGGCAGGCTGGAAACAGACGAGTGCGCCTCAGAACCTGTGGGATTGTGGGATTGTGTCGGAAGGTCTAGTGTTCGTGCCACCGGAGCACCAGGGCAGGAGAGAGCGGGTAGGGTTGGACAGGTGCGAAGAACGAACGGAACACTTTGCCGTATGTAGTAGTCATAAGCCCGCAGATTCAGGAAGCTGAATGAACCCCAACAGGATGAACCCAAAGACACTCACGCCAAGGCCCACGCCAGTCAGATTTCCGGAACGGAAGGCAAGGCTCGAGAGCAGTGAAAGAGGTGCCACCCTGCTCTAGGGGCAGGCACTGCGACAGCCGAGGCCTCTAGTCAGGACCGTGCAGCCAGAGGACGCGGCCGAGACGCTTCCGGTGTTGACAGAAGAGCGCCGTCGGCTCCTGAGTCTGTCCAGTGACACCCCGCAGGAGTGAAGGGAATTTCTCGCTTTCTGTCTCTCTGTCTCTGTCTTTCTGGCGAGCGCACATGCCCGATTGCAAAAGCCTCTCCCCCTGCCAAAAAAAAAAATCTCTCTGCATGATTTCCAGAAGTAATCTTATATTAATACTGTAGTGTTTGCATTTTGTTCATTAATTTTTAATGAGAAATGTTCTCAAAATGTCTTTTCCAGTTTCCATTTTTCCTCTTTTGTGTCTAACCCAGACTTGGGATGGGAGTGGGGGTGGAGTGTCGGTGCGGCAGCTCCTGGGCAGGGAGCGACCCGTGGGTGACGGAGGAGCCTGCCTCCAAACGCTCTGACCTGCTGCACCTGTCTCCTATGGTACACAGGCCCCGGCGTGTGCCCCCGCCCTGCAGGCCCGGGTGAGGCCGGTACACGGCGCCACAGGCTTGGACTCTGCCAGGGAGGGCCTTTCCGCCTTCCTGCCTTTGCCATCCACCAGAGGTCTGGGTGGAAGACGGACGTACAGCTTAGCTCCCCGCTCCTGGCCCCCAGCGGGTTGTGGCCTCTGCTCTCCGTGTTTCTCACGTGCCAACAGCGTTCGCACTGAGCAGCAGCGGGCTGTGAGGTCACACGCCGTCACCTGCTGTGGCAGCTCCTGTGGGCTGTCTGGGGCACTGTCTCAGAGCTGCGCTGCCCTCCTCCTCCCTCCCATTGGAGGTGGCTGTCACTGTGAAGAGCATCACCTTCCCACCATCTCCCGTGACTCCTCCGGCTCTCCTGTATGTCTTCCTTCCAGCCAGGTTTGCAGGGGAGCAGTGCCCCACGTGCCCTCCAGAGGGCCTCGGGGAGCCGTAGTGGCTGGGGGGAG